ACTGTCTGTCATATCAGTGGAGAAACATCTGTCAAGAAAATCTATAAAAACTCCATAGGAATGGTTGGAATCTGTGGCATTTGAAGCTAGACCTCTCCCTCTGTCCCCACTCCCAGCTCATCAGACATAAACTGTACTCCTGATTGGCAGCCAGGAACACAAGGAATCCTCTTCCTGCAGCTCAGTCAAGGGCTTTCTTCCTGGGAAGAAGAGGATGTCCGTATTTCTCATCCTGCCCCAACTACCTGTTGCTGAGTCTAAGTTCTGGGTGAGTGTAGTTGAGAGGTGGGAACTCTCTTCTTTCATCCAGTCCCCACTGATGGAATGGAGGCTATCTCCTGGGTGTGGCACTGCTGAGAATCCTGGGGCCCTGGTTATCCTTGCCCTGGCTTTGAGGCATGGTTTTATAGAAAAGTAAGCAGAGAGGATCTCAGGATGTTGTTCCCCCTTCCACTGAAAGATCAGCTCCTAAAGCAGGAGTGTCATTTAGAAAGAAGAGTGCTGTTGTCCCCACCCTCAGATCCAGAGCTCTGGGTCAGAGATTTTGCCTAGGGAGAGAGGCAAGCCATAAAGCATATATCTTCTAATACTTTCCCAGTAGAACTTACTTCATTTGCAACAGAGCATGGAAAAGGTCAAGCCAAGGGTGCTCCCAAAACAGTAGAGGTTGTGGTGGAGAAAATTGGGAAGTGATCCATGGATTTGGTGAAACTAGCTATTAACTGTTGTCTGGCTAGAGTTTTAAAGACAGTCAAAGGAAAATATGGCTGGCAGGAGCCTTCCTGGGGTCAAAACAAATATCAAATATCAAGCACTGACACTGAGAACTGTTCTTTCACTGGAGCCCAAATTTGATTGAATCAGTCTGTAGAACACTGATGCACAAGGGTAATTGTTGAAAATAATAGACCAATCTGCTAGCAATTAGAGGAGCATAAAAATCGAATATGGTCAGGTAAAGGAGACTAAAATAGCCCTTTCAAAACCATTGTCATCTTAGGGTGACTGTGGGCATACCAAAAGATGAACCTCCCTGAGGAGTGGCATCAGAGGCTTAATGCTGGAGAGAGAGAAATAGACTTCACTAAAACCATATAGCCAATCATTAAAGAAATAAACAGGCAAATACTAAGCCCCAAGGGGTACAGTAAACAGAATTGCTACAACATATTTTCTAAAACATCTAGTTTGCAGCAAAAAATTACAAGACATGTACAAAAACAGGAAAGAACGACTCATACATACACTGGGGGAAAAGCAGGCAATAGAAACTGCCCCTGATGCTGACTAGATAGATGGAGGATATCACAGATATAGGATATTCAATGTAGCCATTTTATGTTCCAAGAACTAAAGAAACCATGATGAAAGAAGTAAAGGAAGGTAAGATGATGATGATGTTACATCAAATAGAAATACCAATAAGTACACAGAAATTACATATTATAAAAATAACCACATGGAAATTCTAGAGTTGAAATATCTTATAACTGAAATGAGAAATTCACTAGAGGAGCTCAAAAGTAGCTTTGAATTGACCAAAGAAAGAATTAGTGAACTTTAGTGAACTTGGAAATAGACTAATAGAGTGTATACGATACAAAGGATAATCAGAAAAATGATTAAGAAAAATGATCAGAGAGTCCAGAGAAATGTGGGACACCATGAAGTGCACCAACATAAATGTCACTGAAGTACCAACATGAGAGGAGAGAAAAGCAAAGGAAAATTATTCAAATAAGTAATGGCTGAAAACTCCCCAAATTTATTGAAAAGCTAAGCTGCACATCAAGGAAGATCAAAAAACTCCAAATTAGGTAAACACAAAGATATTCACAAACAGACATATCATGGTGAAAATGCTAAAAGTCAACAACAAGGAGAAGATCTTGAAAGCAGCAAGAGAAAAATGACTCTTCACATTTAAGGGCAGTCTGACAAGATTAATAGCTGACTCCTCAGGAAAAAACAGTGGAGGCAAGAAGACAGTGGGATAACATAATGAAGGTGCACAAAAGAAAGAAAACTACCAACCAAGAGTCCTATAATAAACAAATATATCTTTCAAAATTGAAGGTGAAATAAAAACAGACAAATATAGACAAAAACTGAGAAAAGTTGTTCTTAGCTGACCTGCCTTATAAGAAATACAAAAGGAAGATCTTAGGGCTGAAAGCAAGTTACCCCAGATGCTAACTAAAATCTTACTAAAAAACAAAGAGCACCAGGAAAGATGATATGTAATTATAAAGACAGTACACTTTTATATGTAAGTATAAAAGAAATTTTTCTCCTTTCTCTTATCTGGTTTAAAAAGAAACTTTTGTAAAATAATATGTACCTAATGTTAGGCTTATAAGATACAGAAATGTAATGTAATTGTAATATTTTTCCCAATAACAGAACAAAGGAGATTGGTAGGAGCAGAGCTGTATTGGTTTAAAGAAATGATTACAGAGGGTAATTATCACAATGCATCATTGTGTTTGTAACATTAATAGATGTAATGTGTATAACAATAATGCCACAAAAGCAGGGGAAGGAATGGGAGTAACATTTCTACATATCACTGGAATTAAGCTAGTAAAAATACTTTAGGATTCACTCTTGGTGAACTTTCTGTGGGTCTTGACAAGTGTACAGTGACATATACCCACTATTATAGTATCATACAAATGAGTTTCACTGCTCTAAAAATCCTCTGTGCTCCATCTTTTCATCCCATCCTTCCCCCAACCCTTGGCAACCACTGACCCTTTTACTATCCTGATAGTTTGCCTTTTTCAGAATGTCATATAGATGAAATCATAAAATGTGTAGCCTTTCCATATTGGCTCCTTTCACTTAGTAGCGTGGATTTAAGATTGCCTCATGTCTTTTCATGGCTTCATAGCTCAGTTCTTTTTAGCGCTGAATAACATTCCATTGTTTTGATGTGCCTCAGGTTTTTATCCATTTACCCACTGAAGGACATCCTTGTTGCTTCCAAGTTTTGGCAATTATGAATAAAACTGCTATAAGCATTTATGTACAGGTTATTGTGTGGACATAAGTTTTCAACTCATTTGAGTAAACACCAAAAAGCACGATTGCTTGGTTGTAGGGAAATTGTATGTTTAGTTTTGTAAGAAATGCCTTCCAAAGTGGCTGCTGTACCATTTTGCATTCCCGCCATCAGTGGATGAGAGATCCTATTGCTCCAAATCCTTATCAGTATCCATACCCAAAATGTGGACTAGCCACACAATAGAATAATATTTGGCATTAAAAGGAAATGAAGTATTGATATAAGCTATAACATGGATGAGCTTAGGAAATATTATGCTCAGTGAAAGAAGCTAGTCACAAGAGACCACATTTTATGTGTCCAGAACAGGGAAAACTCTAGAGACAGAAGGTAGATTAGTGTTTGCTTAAGGCTGGGGGAATAAGGGCATAGGAGGGTCATAACTAAGTATGTGGCTTTTTTTTTTTGACTTGATGAAAATGTACTAAAATTGATTGTGGTGATGGTTGCACATATCTGTGAATATGCTAAAAACCATTAAAATGTATACTTTAAGTGGGTAAACTGGTATGCAGATTATATCTCAATAAAGCTATTATAAAAAAGAAGGAACATCTATTCTGGCATGGCTTAGTAGGAGTTATCCAGGCTAAGGGTATAAGTGATAGTTGAGAGAATATTTCAGGCAGGGAGAACTATGGGAACCAGGACTTGAAAGGACATGGAGCTTTGAGATGATAGGAATTCACTTAGTACAAAAGTATTGTTGTTACTATTTATTAAATATCAACTGTTTCAGAGCAGTGATTAGGAGCAAGGACTTGGACCTTAGACAGGTATTCCATTTAATAGCTAGGTGACTTTTCCTTCTCATTTTCCTACAAAATAACAGGTAAATGATATAATATCTGCAAAAGGACTCAGAGTTCACATAAGGGAAGAAAGACCCTGTGTAAGTCCAAGAAATATTTTGACAGTTACAATGCAAGAATAATAGAATTATCCATTGGGAAATTCTTTTAAAAATAATTATTATTTCTTAACCACATGACAGGAAGCCTGGTAAGATACCAAAATGCCACTTAAAGAGAAATGATCCCTCCCTTTAGCAAACTAAAGGGCTTCATCTTGATATTTGTAGATATATGTAAGTATGTGTATGTGTATATGTATTATACTGTGCCTCCTATCTTTCATTTTTCTTTTAACAATGCATGATGAACATGTAGTACATATGAAAGCTACCTCATTCCTTTGAATAGCTACTTTACCCACACTATACTGAAAATATGGAGGAGATGTGGACAAAATATTGAATAGACCTGTTTCAAAGTAATGTATACAAATGGCCAATAAGCACATGAAAAGATGCTCTGTACCCAACTATAAGACATGGCCCAAATGGCACTGCATAGTGTCTCTTTAAATTGAAGAAATGGACAATCTCCCCATTTCTATAGAGGTCAGTCTGGGAACTTAGCCCACTTGGGGAGCCAAAGAAATGTGTTGGGCTTCACTACTTGAGAATTCTAGTATATCACAGTGGTAGGGGCCTGAAAGGTGCAATGCGCTGCAGAAGGGGCCATAATGCCCAGTATACATGGCAGTATCAAGAGTGGGGATGAGAAGCTGGGCAGGCACAGCAGGAGAACATAAAAGTGGCACCCACCTCATAGTTGCCTGGGTTTGTTTTTAAGTACCGATGAGAACTACTTTCTTAACCCTCCCAAGTAGCTGAAACGAATCTCTTAGGGAGCTGGGATCCTGCACGGGCACATGAAGACAACACTCTGTCAAACACAGCTCACAGTCATTACCTTATTTGGCCCTCACAAGATCTTTGTGAAATTATCTTTATTTTACAGATAAGATATAAAATTTGTTCTTCTAGCGAAGTGGTCAAGTGGTCTTTTGAAGTCCACATTTGCTTCTAAAATCTGTCAACAAATATTAAGCCCCAGTACTTGTAGAAATAAACTGATAAGTGCTGTTGGTTGCTCCTTTTTTGTTATAAAACTTTTATTATTTTTAGCAATGATAATTGTGTGCTCATTTTAAAGATGTGGAAAATACAAATAAGCAAAAGAAGAAAAATCATTCATAATCCCACCACCAAGACTGTACTTTTTATCTTTCATCCTAAACAAGGTTTTAAATGTATATATGTAATATACAAATGTACTTCTACTTTTCAAAAATATGATATTCACATATTACTTAGTAACCTTTTTCATTTTATATCCTATCAGGAACCTCTTCTTTACAAATGAGTAAAGCTCTTTTATTAAAAGACAGAGTCTTGAAGATTGGTTCAAAATACAATAAACAATGAGATGCAGATAACAAGAGATACATCTAAAACCACTAACAGCAACAGATTAAAAGTAGAAAGATGGACAAAGGCATATCAGGAAAATGCTAATAAAAAGAAACCTACATGGTATTGTTAATATCAAATAAAGATCAAGGAAAACTACATTAAATAGGGGTAAGGATGGTTTCGATTAACCTTCCAACGTATCACTATAAGTTTGTTTCTTACTCTCCTTATCTCATCTATTTCATCCACTTCTCTAAACATATCTTCATTGCTTAAATGCCTGTTGTGTATATCTTCTTTAAATTCCTGGAGAGACTGGATCAGCCTTTCTCTAAAACTTCCTTCTGCTTTTTCTTCCTCCTCTGGCTCTTCCTCCTCCTCTGGCTTTTCCTCAGGCTTTGGCTCTTCCTCGAGCTTTGGTTCACTCTCATTTTCTGGTTTTTCTTCAATTTTTTGACAGGGTTTCATCTTGTGTCTGTCTGCCTCCGTTCCTTCCCTCCTTTTCTTTTTTTCTGCTATTCCCCTTTGAATGCAATTACTTCTAGGAAGCAAGAAGGAGACAGTAAGTCAAAGATTTGGTGAGTGGACAGGTGCTCTAGACAGAGGTATCAGCATTTCCTTTTTTTGATTTAGAGCTGTCATCAAATATCTAACACCTAAGAAGCCCAGTCAGCAATCAGGGCTATCCTGACCCTGCCCCTCTTACCGCCACTTTTCCACCTCCTCACCTCTCTCTAGTCCCTCTTTCTAGCCTTTTCCAAGGCCCTCCTTCCCGCCTCCCTGCCCTCCCCAACTATTTCTCCCCCACAGACCTAACACGGGGACTTCCCCAGAACAGAGCAGGGTGACGGGAAGGGTGGGGAGGTGGGAGAGGGGAAAGGGAGGAAGAGTAGGAAAAAAGGGAGGACAAGGAGCTGCGGGAACAGTGGGGCCCACAACCTTTCTCCGGCCCTCACCCCAGGAGTTTTTATAATGTTCCTCTCACCTACCTGGTACTGATCCCGTCAGTGTCTTCCTTTTTTCTTCTAGCCTTGGATTGCGCGAAGAACACAAACCTGCAGACGGGAAACGGGGGAGGGGACGGTGGGGGTGGGGCGAGCGCTTGGTTTGCTGACCAGCACCACAGACCCAGGGTCTCGGTTATGGAAAGTTTCCCATCTTTTGTTTCCCCCATTTCTCCCCTTCTCCACAGTGCCAGTTAGCTAGTCTTTCTCATCTGACAGAGAGTGGGAAAAGCAGATTACTTCCAAACTATCTCTAACATTGAGGCGCGGTTTGGGGGAGGGTGGGTGTCTGGAAAGCGGTCTTAGATGGCAGTCGATGATTACTTTTAAACTATTACAGAGGTCTTCGTGTCCTTCTCCCGGGACCCCTAGTCCCTTTCCCCCTCAGGGCCATACATTTCCTGCAGACCTGGAGGAGGGAGGGGGAGAGTCCGACTTGCCTGGCACTCCCTCAAGTCTTCGCCCTAAATCACCTCACACTAGCAATCTCCAGGCAACACCCATACTGACACCAACCTGCAGAATTTCCGCCAGTTGACTCCTTGTCCTTCCACTCTTCTCCGGGGCGGCCGCCTGCCCTGCTAAAGGAAGCTGGTACCCAGACGGGAACAAGGACTAGACTAGCAGGACTTCTGCACACGTCGACTCCTGGTCACATGAGATCTACGTCACCAGTGAGCTCGGGTCCCCAGTTTCCACTCCCACCAAAAGCGCGGCAGAAGTGAGCCCGCCCCCTACTCCCTCCCGGTTTCCCACTCCTTATACATTTGGCCCTGTCAGTCTTTTCTGTTGTTGCCTATCCCACAGGGAAAAATGTTATTCGCAATTCTCTGATTACTAGAGAGGGGCTGCCTCCTTTTCTGGAGCTACTGAACTTTTCTACTCCTTCTGTCAAGAATTGTCTCTTCCAGTCTTCCGCTCCCAGGGTAACTATCTCCTCCATCCTTCGTCCCTCCCCCAGCCTCCATTTCATCTGCAATCTGGTCCTTAACTGTTGAGGAGCAGGGTGGGCGGGTAGTGGTTGTAAAAAACAAAAATAAAACAGGAGCCTGGAACATGAGTGAGATTTTTTAATGCAATTTTTACTTTACTCTTAATACTTCTATTTTTTTTTGTTTTATTTAAAAGTAAGTTCTATCTTTTTATAGTGAGAAAAGACAAAGACATTTACTTTAGTTACATGAGTTAATCCATGTACATTGATTAGAATAATGCCTGGTATATGGTAAGTGCTTTAAATGTGCAAGCTATGGTTATAATTATATTAGTATTTTATTTGGGGAAAAGGATTCAAAATGAAGAAAAGTAATGTTTGATCCTGAGCCCTGATGGTTGTGTTGCCAGGAAGCTGTGCTGCCTGAAGAATCATCACTTGTTCAATTGTCAGGTGTACATTGTGAGCCCAAGTTTCTTCGCCTGAAAGAAAGAAAGAATAACATACAACTCATAGAATTAATTCTTAGGAAGTCTAAATGATAACACCGGTGTAAAGCATTTGACTCACAGGCTGGGCGAGGTGGCTCACGCCTGTAATCCTAGCACTCTGGGAGGTCAAGGCCGGCAGATTGCTCAAGGTCAGGAGTTCAAAACCAGCCTGAGCTTGACCCCATCTCTACCATAAATAGAAAGAAATTAATTGGCCAACTAATATATATAAAAACAATTAGCCAGGCATGGTGGCGCATGCCTGTAGTCCCAGCTACTCGGGAGGCTGAGGCAGGAGGATTGCCTGAGCCCAGGAGATTGAGGTTGCTGTGAGCTAGGCTGATGCCACGGCAATCACTCTAGCCTGGGCAACAAAGTGAGACTCTGTCTCAAAAAAAAAAAAAAAAAAAAAAAAAGCATTTGACTCACAGAAAGTCTTCAACAATGATTATTTACCTTTCAACCTCAACTCAGTCTTTGGTAGAAGTCCCAAATTTGCTATTAAAACTGCTTAGCTCTTAGAGATAATAGTTGAAAAATAACAGGAGGAGATATAAATATATATTTTCATTGTGTATAAGCTTTGGTGGCCCTTTGTGAAGGAGAATAAAGAGCTCAAAGAATCATATGGAAGGAAAAAAAGAACGTCACCACATGTCAATTTATTTCACTTGCTTTTCTATTACATTATTATATCGTCTGGGAAGCATATGTATTTGAGCCCTAGAAAACCCAGCTATAATGGTTGGGGTCTGCTGGACAGAACACTGGTGTGAGAGACAGGAGCTGTTAGCCCCAGTGCCAGACTTAGAACTGACTGCATGACCCTCAGTAAGTTACTCTCCCTGTACTTGCCTTATGTCTAAAACAGAAGAGCACAGGCAAGCTCTCAGAACTTTAGAAAGAAGCATGAGATTAGTAAAACATTTGACTATATTGTCCCTAGGGAAGATGAAAACATCTTGAATGGCAGCTGCTTTTATCTAGCTTGACAGCAATGGTTCCAGAAATCATTAGAATGTCCTGAAAGGGGAAAGGTGTTTTGCTGCCATTATCTCCTTACATACTCCCAATAACTCTGCAAGGGAAATATTTTAATTTCCATATTATATATGAAGAAACTAAGAGAATTTAGGTCATGTGCCCCCAAATATTACCTCCTTAGACCCAAGCAGCAAAGGCCTTTGCCTGAGGCCGCACTTTTTGAGGGTGGCCTCTGGCCCTCCTACATATTCTCTTCCCCATGTAGTGAAGAGATAATGGGGCAAGATATACCTAGTTGTAGCTTTCACTCTAGACCATACTCTAAATCCCTAGGATCTTAGAAGATCCTGCCCAAAGGACCTATAGCCTAAATCCAAGGCCTGCATATGCCTCCTCTCTGGATCTGTTCTCCTGAGAATGGGCCATATCCCACTCCTAGGCTAAGAACTAGGGGTGGAACAGATGATATATATATATATATATATATATATATATATATATATAGCAGGGAAGGCAGAGCCTCCTTCACATGAGACCATTTGGAGAAAAGGTAAAGGGAAGGGGGACTTGTCAGGCCTTGGCCTGGGTTAAAAACTCTTGACCTGGGTCTCAGGGGATGGTCAGGATCTAGAGGGAGGGAAGGAAGAAAGGAGAAGACTAGTATGATTGAACCCAGGTCCTGTGCCCTTACCATTAGTTACCCTGCCCTGTCTCTCATGCTTCCTTGCCGGGTAGAAGTTCATTTGCTCCTCCTTAGGGATGCTAAGTCTCTTAACAGTAGTCATAGTCTGAAAGCTAGTTCAGTGTAATCACATCATGATATGCTTTGTACTACCCCAAGGACTTTCTCACTTATTTCCGGGTCATGGAATCTGAATCTGTCTACCTTTCTGGACAGTACTTAGGCAATTGCATCTCCTTTGAGCACATAAATCCATTCCTAGGTATTCGTCCTAGGAAAATATTTAATGGTCGTCACAATGATTTACTATGATAAAGTTTGCAGACCTGAATTCCTAGCATCAACCCTTGGGCTTTGACCTGAATATGCAGTGAGAAGCCACAAGTGAAAAGCAGCCATGAAGGGACAGAAAAAAAGAGAAAATCATTCTAGGCTGTAGCAGACCTACACCCAAGCATGTATACATTCTCATAACACCAGGATTCTCCTGGATGCTTTTGCTAGATAAAGAAGGCAAACTTCATAATTCTGTTAAAACAAATTCAAACTGTACAGATGGTATGTACCATTTAGAACTAGAAAATGAGAAGATTACATTTTTGTAACAGCATACATATATTTATTTCTATGCATTTAAAATATGCATATACAATTAAACTTTACTGTAACATGATAAATGAAGTCCAAAAAATTGATTCCTGTAAAATTTTAGGTTGTGTTACTGAGATGAATGGAATGGCTAAGGTGAGCCTATTTGGTTAGCTGGCTGCACAGCCCAAATTGATCAAGTACTCAGCTGTGATTTTGGTGCCACAAACAGTTGTTCACTGAGCACTCAAGATTAAATGTCATCTGTCCATTTTACCCTCCCCTGACCCCGACTCCCAATTATGTTATATCCAAAGTCAAGTTATTGCAAGGTCTTACTGTATTTCTAAATCATTAAAAATGTGGATGAATGTATATTGAACTATTATCATAGGATATATTTGAGAATGAATATTTAATATAAAGGGAACTTTTACTTTCTAAGTGTTTCATTTATACATTTAAAATTTATCTTTAATAGGCATGTATTAACTAGTGTTCAGAAAACAATTGAGATAAAATTTTGGAAATATGAAAAACAAGTAAAATATCTGACAAATATAAGTCAGCCATATATTTATTGAAATGAAGGTTTTTATAATTATATTGGTATGTGAAAAAAGCAGTTTACAAACAATAACCTATAGAGCAGCCCATTTTTTAAAAGATATGTATATGTATGCGTGCATAGAAAATATTATGGAATATATACACCAAAATATTAGAAGTGGATATGATTGGGTTGTGGGCTTATGGATGGTTTATATAATCTTTTTTATCTCTTTGTAGACTCTCTTACTTTTTCTCAGGGGTATGTGTAACTTCTACAATACAGCAAAGTCTGCAAACAGTATGATCTTATTTTATGACACATATTTCATTTACATGCTTCTCTATAGCTGAGCAAGGTCTCAATTAAGATCATCTACTACCTGTTTGAGGCTTGGTGTCTTTGAAATGATTGAATCCCTCACATTTTCTTCTCTTGTCCTCCTGGCCTCCAGAAAGAGCTACATATTTATTACCAGTATGCATTAGAAATGAGGCTCTCCTTCCCCTCCTCTGACTATCCCTCCTTCCAATCAAGTTTGCAAGGATCAAGCTGTAGCACCAGGTTATTAACATAAGAAAAGAGGTATCACTTTCTTACATTTGACCTGATGAAAAATAATTTTTTAGGAAAATATTTTTGCTAGAAAAAGTAATATTTATGGCAATAATATAACTTTTTAAGCAGATTATAAAATATTACTCTTAGTTACCAATTCAACTCTTTAAAAATATATATGAATAGAAAAAGAAAGAATTATATTAACATTTCTGGCTCTGCTTGACATGTGGCTTTTATCTATAGTTCTATGATTTTTTTCCCAGTGAAAATGTTTTACTTTTGCAAATAAAGGCAATAAATATTATTTTAAGGCAGGTCATAAAATATATATAAAATTTTCCTAGTTACATTTAAAAATACAGATAGAAGGAAAAAACCATCAAGAATCTACACTTAATTTCATTTATTTGATGACTATCGAATATATATTTAATCCACTTATTTGTTCAACAAATATTAATTAGGTGTTAACTAGTTATTATCGACCTATATGTGCCTTCCAGAATTTTCTTCTCAATGATTGCTGGAAGTATTAGTACAATGGAGTGGCATCTTAAGCCAAAGCTGGATTCTGAAGTCATATAAAGTGAAATCCCACCCAGTCAAATCTACCTACTTCATAGCATATGTTGTAATGTTAGTGGAGAAAAAAAATCAAACAAGAGTATTTAAACTTAAAAGGATCTAGTAATTTTAGAGGAATGTGGATTTCTAAAAATTTTCATGTCTATAATTTGTGTTAATTTTCCAAATTTTCCACAGTTTACTTGAATTACATACATAGAACAATGAAATACATAGTTTTAAGGTAACTCAGACTTCACTCACTGTTCACTATATATGAAATGTAATTACATATGTGAATAATATATATAACATATATAT